CAAAGGATTGATTGTAATGATTTTGTTGGTTTGTGTGCCACACCTATCCCGAAGGTTTTCAGCAGTCTCGTTGCGGTTTCTGATATTCCTTGTATGTACGGTAGGGTGATCCTTTTGTTGATTTTTGTGCTTGATTTGGGTTCTGATGCTGTGTGCCGTTGGTGCTTTTTGATGAAGTTGATTGGGTAGCCGTTCTTTTGAAATATGTCCTTCAGGTGTTTCTCTTCATTTTTTCGTGCTGCCAGTGTGCTGCAGTGTGTCCTCGCCCTCTTGAACAATGTGTGTACGCAGTTGATTTTGTGAGCTCTTGGGTTGTGGCTGTTGTAATTGAGGATTTGATCTGTATGGGTCGGTTTCCTATATACTTGAGTCTCCAGTTTTCCTGTATCGGTTCTAGTGATCAATATATCCAAGAATGCTAGTTGGTTGTTTGACTCCTGTTCCATTGTAAACTTGATGTCGTTGAAAACGTTGTTGATCAGTTTGTATGTGTTTTCCAGTTCATCCTTTTTGACGATGACAAAGGTGTCGTCTACGTAGCGAATCCAAACTTTTGGCTTGATCACTGGTAATATCGTGGCGGTTTATTTCACACGCATCGTTATTTTGACTGAAATTAATGTGGGTTATTTTAGTAATGAAATTATGTATTTGATTATTCTCATTTTACATGCATATCAATCATTCAGAAACTATTTCAACCTTCAACTTGCACTTTTATTTTGTTTTCCTTCACACAGAGACATATTTACATCTAACATCAATTATTAATAACTCCATCTTATACATACATATATACACACACAATTTGTCAGTTGTTTATTTTTACATCGTGAACTTTTCACATGATCCTCATTTAACTGATTCATGTTATTCTATTTACAAGTTGAAATCATGAGCCAATTGAAGCTAGACCACCATGGAAAACCTGGAAGCACTGGACGGCCGTTTCGTCCTAGTATGGGACTAAAGTCAACATCCAAGTATGATTGGATTAGCACAGCATAGATTTGATTATTTAACACTATATATTTCTTTGATCTTGATTTGTTACCCTGTAGAAGTTCAGACAAGTTTGTTGGACGAAACGTTGGAATTATTTAAATTTCAATTGCTAAGATTATTTCAAATATAATTTTCATATATAATGACTTGGAATGATTTTACAATCCACCAATGGTAGATCTACAATTAAAACAAAATGCTCTGAGTTATATATATGATTTGCTTATCTAGTCGATAATGAAATTTGAGTATATATGACTAGAATGTACTTCATTTTATCGTTAATTCCAGGTAATTAAACTTGATTTTTTCTGTTTGTTTATCGTTTCGTTGAACCGGATATCAGGATTTAAAAAATACACAGTCTGTCATTTTTCCAAAGTGGTGTAATTCAACTAATTTGCAAAAAACAGACCATAATCTGAGTTAATTTTCAATATTCAAAATAAAACTCACCATTATCTCTGGTGGTCTCATATTTTTAAAATGCTTTACAATGCTATCTAGAATAATGAACTAAATAATATTTGAGGGCGTATTTATGTACTACATGTGACTGAAATGTTTCGATAGAGTATCGAGTTATTTTGGAAAATAATACAATTTGTTAATAAATAAATAACTGATCAATCGTATTTACTTTAGATCCCCACCACTTGAAGTGTGATCTTGCTAAGGTCTGCCTTTATTTAACCACAAAATGATGAGTATTATGATTTCCTTATAAGTGTGACTGTTATTTTATGATTTATTCATCGGTCACATACATTAATTTTCAAAATAAATAAGGTACAAAAGATCATGTCTAACGTATCTTAACCATAGTTTGGTAGTATTACAAAAATTATTCAAAGAAGATATCTGCCAGGAAAATAGATCTTATTTTCTTCCGTTTCGTGACTTGGTGTAGGCCGACTCTTCAGAATGAATTAATAAACTACCGAATTAAATTAATACAAGTTTAAATATTATAAAGGAAGTAGGCAAAATATTTAGTTCAATCAAAATAAAGGGTTAAAATAGGTTTGATTATGTTAATGCGATGTTAATTTTAAGTCGTGATTCTGTGTGAGCCATAGAAGTGCGTATTTGTTTGGGTATGAAATTTGTAATATGTAGTAGTTGAGTTAAAGCCTGAGTGTGGGTACGTGCTAATTGTGTAAGAAATGAAGAAAGTTACATGTGTTTCTTTGGATAAACAGTCCAAGTTGGATGAACAGTTATGTCTTCTTTTCTACTGAAGGGCACAGGGATTCAGCTTTATATGAAACGCCTCGGTAATTCATCTTCTTAGATTATTTAGTTATCGACTAGGTGGTTACTGAATTTCCTATTTAATTTTTAGATTTTTCAGTTCTACAGGATTATTCAAAGGTCACCTTGTGTAGTTTAAATGTTCCTTCACACGAGTTAAGATTTCACGAAAGGGCTCTCCGATAAAGAGCGCATCATAATCAACACAGCCTAATCTAAAGACGTACTTCTGTGTAGATGCAAAAATGATGTTTTCCTTATTTCTAAATGTTAGTTGTCTCATAGGAAGCATTAAATTTGAACATTTTCTAGATCCGTTGCAATTCTTCTGTCGTACCGTAGTGGTAAGATAAGAGTACAATACCAATCCAAGATATTTCATTTGAATAGTTATTTAAAAACATATCGTTTCATTTCAGTGTTTGTAATAATATTCAAAGGAGAATTATTAAGTCGCAAGATGTTTGTTATGTTTCTTTTTACCTTAGCTTGTCTTCTTTTGAGGTAATGATTTTAATCGCTTTACTGAATAGATTCAAGGCCAGGGAAATATTTCCACTAAATAGGTATTCAGACTTAAAATTGATGTACCCATCTGAATGTGTCGGTTTTACGGTACATAATTAAATTTAGACTTCCATTAGAATTTTTTGTACGAAAACAGTCTAAGAACGGTAGTTCATTATGTTCATCTTCCTTATTGAAAATTGTCAAGTCAAACGTTGGTATTGATACCAACTGTTACTGTTTAGCAATTAATCACAAACTATTGATATCTAAATATCCATTTTAAGATAAAATGTTGTATTATAGGTTACTCTCACATCATAAGGTGAAGAGAGGTTTCGATAATTCCAACCAATACAATGGAAAAGAAATAATATTTTATAAAACTGCAATGATGAATTATCGGAACAATCAACAGAGGAAATATTTTCATCATCATTGACTAATAATAATTCATCCTGAGTTACAAATTTAAACAGATGTTATGCGTTTAGTTTCGTTACCATAGATCATTGTTTAATTCTTTAGCAATATTTTATGAAACCGATTAATCTGACATACAAAATACGATTCATTTCACCACAGATGTCATGGAATCTTTAATGTTATTTCTGTTGTATGACTTAGTATTAAAATCTCTCATTTCACATTCACAACAATTTATTGTTCATAATATGTAAAGCTTGATTATATAGTCAGTGAAAAGAAATCACTTTTTGCATTTACTAAGTGTTGATGTTTATTTTAACCAAAATTAATGCAGAAATAGTGAAGATTTGTAGCATAGGTGGATGATGTAAGTGACTCTGAGCTGAATGACGTAGCCTTGGAGCTTTCATTGATTTTACATACCATTCATATAAATTAAAAAAAAGAGGTGAATTATGAAAACTTCTCCACAATAAACTGACAGATTATTCTGTTAATACTAAACTTAACTGATTATTGCCCATAATTTTGCAGTCATTTTCTGAATATTTATTTTGGCTAGCTTCTCCATTGACATTCCTTATAAGTTTTTAAAAATTGAATGATATATCGTGTCCATTTCAATATCTTTGTTGACTACTCACTGGTCTGAATATTCAGCCCCGAAAACTTCACTGGTTTTATATTGCTTCTGTCCAATGTTTCGGCGATTCTCCAACCGAACTTATGTCTAGAATTATCTGAAGGAAATTTCGGAACTACTTAATTGTAATCTCTGAGACCTTTACAAGAGTAGTAAGTTACAGAGACTGACTACTAACTTTCAAATCAAAGTCTTACTTATCTAGCTTACTGAGAAACATTCTCAATTTAAATTAATAAAGGGAATCGATCGTACGAAATTCCTCGTTTTTTTAGTAGTTATAGTCATTTTGCGTGAGTATCCAGTGATAAGACTTAACTATACTGACAGACTTTAGCGACCAATCAAAACCAGGCTAACCAATGCGTGAATTTAAAAACAAATACACATTTTGAAGAGTATGGTATTAATTATTCGATTCGTTTTTTATAACAACTGATTATTTGTATGTATATTCTTGAATGCTAAGTTCATTGATCACGATAGTTTTCTCGACTTTAACAATTCCTATTGTAATAATACAGACCGTCAAGAAGTAATCAAAAATTTATATTTGCTAAAATGTTGGCTCCTTTTTTTATTATAATAAAAATATTTACACTACTTTACAATCTACCACGTCTGTTTAAGTGAACCCTTCTATTATTTTTATTATTCTTTATAGTATAATTTTCAAACAAGTATCCTATACTATGTGAAGTAGAACTGATCAGTCAATCAGTAACAACGTAGAACTTCGTACGGACGTACATCAGTTCGAGTTGCCATACCACATTAGTACAGAGATGCAGTTGTCGATTCAAATCCCGTAGTGATAGAGGCGGTGAGAGTATAAGCAGTAATAGGAAAGATTAGGGTTTGAAGATGATATTTAAAGAGTATAATCCAGTGAAATAAATTTGGAAAGAGGAAAAAAGGGACATGAAGAATTCAGAAGATTAGAATCTGGGAGAACACAAAGAGTGTATGCACCTGCGCCATTGCAAACGATTTTGAGCCATGTCATTCAAGGTCTCTAACCATCGATTGCTATCATCTCGCGGTCCCCAACCAGGTAGTCTACACCTACCGACATGACTCAGTTCACTTGTCAGTGACTTCATGGACTTGTGCCATGTTTTAGTCTGGCCGCCCCTAGCTTTCTTCCAACCTACTCCTATACCAATGAACATCGCACGTCGAGGCAGTCGATGGTTAGGCATACGTAACACGTGTCTCAGCCATCTCAACTGATGAAGTTTCACTACTTCATTAATTGATTTGCCATCCTTATCTGGTGGCAGATTATACATTTCAAAAACAATTAATTAAACAATATTTTAAGACATACAATACAATATCCAATGAATATAATATACATCAAAAATCGATCTGGATCAAGTTTAGGAACTAATCAAATTAACTACTTAATATTAAAATGATTACAGCGTAAAACATATGACTAGTGTCATATATTTTTTTTCCAAAATTTTATACACAAATAAACCGTAATACAAAACATAGTGATTTATCTATTTACAGACATACATAGATAGTAAAATGGAGAGATAGAGATAGAAAAATTTAATATAAACGTATTTTACAATCTAATTATGATTTATCACAATCAAGTACTGGCATTCATCAAATCCTTTACATCATTATGTATCATCAATAGTTTCATTTGAATGTATAACATTCAAATATGGATATTCGATTCAAAATAACACATTAAATATTCAATTTAAATATACATTATAAAAGTATAACTCCATCCATCAATTTATTAAAAGAAGGAAAAAAAACTATGACTATTATGCTGTATATATATAATATATATTTATTTATGAATTAATTTTAAATGCCTTTTTAAATTACATAATTGACGAAAACTAACATTACATTGTGAACATTGATATGGTTTTTCCCCGATATGTATTAATTCATGACTAGTTAAACTGAAACTTTGTGTAAAACTAGCATTACAATAACGACAAATAAAAGGTTTAATCATATTATGAATTCGTTCATGTCTAGTTAATGATGAATTTTTAGTAAATGTTTTATGACATATAGTACAATTGAATAAACGTTGAAATTTTTTATTATGATTGGATTTAACTTTTGTCAGATGAGTAGTTAGATTATTATTATCATCATCATGGTTATGACTACTTATAATTGCATTATCAGTAGTAATAGTGTTTGTGGAAGAATTTATCGGTTCATTTCCTAAAGCAGTAGTCAAGTATTCGGGATTATTATGTAGAGTATTATTAGAGTAGATATCTTCACATGGTACAAAATCAAATATATTTTCATCTGAATACAAAACAACCGGATTAGTGTCGTTACTTATATCATTATTACTATCATGGATATTAATTGCATTGTCTAAGTTATTATTGATAGGAATAAAATGTTGGTTGAGTTCAGTCATATCACAAGTTGAGGCTAAAAGATATTGGCACTGTTGCCCATCTACAATATCCATGGTGTTTGGAATATTTTGACTTATAAAGGGTTTTTCAGGATTGTTATTAATATCATGGTCCGTGATTTCAAGATAAACCGTTGACATATCGACTGGTTCGGAACCAGAATTATTTGGTACATCTAAAACTTGGTTGTTAATCACCTTATCATTCGTTTGTATTTCTTCCGAGTATAATAATATATCCAAATAAAGAGTACATTTAGTACAGTGTTCAGAAACTCCATTGCCACAGATACAATCTTTAAAAGAACGATTCATTTGATGTGCTTCACTAATAGTTTCCTCTTCAGGATGATTTATGTTCATAACATTATTTGAAAAAATATTATTATCCAAAGTAGATGAAAAATTAGCAGGATTCAATTCGTTGCTGCTTTGACGTCTCGCTTTACAATTGAGTAAGTGACGTTTTCTATGACTAGGGTTATGAAAAACAGAATTACAATATGGACAACCATAACCTCGAGTACCAGTATGTAATCTTACATGTAAGCGCAGACTGCTTCTAGAGGAAAATCCAAAACCGCATAAATGACAGAAAAGTGCATGTTTCATTAATGCCTTCTTTTTCGATGTCATGACTATTTTAGACATATTTAATTCATGTACTTTAAATTTGTGTTGACGAAGTTGAGAATGTTTCATAAACCGTCGATGGCATTTATCACATTCATATGGTCGAATTCCAGAATGTACATTGAGGTGATATCGAAGGTCTGATTTTTTTGTAAAGTTTTTATTACATATATTACAAATATTTCCACTGACTGGGAAGCTAGACTGGTGGTTCAGTGAATGTGAATCTATCAGTACTTTTGGAAAACTAACAGTGTTTTCAACGCGTTCTCTAGCAGCCTAGTTGTAAAAGAAAATAATACGTTATTAAGCACATAATAATTCAAATACTAAAAATTGTCACAAAAATAATTACCACTAGGGTAATTTATTTTTCATTATTATAATACAGTGTGGTTTATCTAAACTAGAATATTTAATTTTATATAAAAGTCTAAAATGTTCGATTTTTTAAGACCATATGTTAATTCTAGTTACCTCTTTGCAACTTTCAGAGAATTATCGAAAGATATCTGAGCTACGTTGACAACCTACCGACTGAATGCAATACAGGTTGAGGTTTGCTCAAAATAAAGAAAAAATAACAAGAGTACCCTAAATTTCCATCAATCCGTATAAACTATGAGCTTTGAAAAGTGATCAAAAGCCAATCACTTTCAATATGAATAAGGGAAGAGAATAGTTGCACTAGAAATATTTTTGAAATGCTCACTGTTGATAACGTAAATAAAAGGAACTAAGTATCAGGAATTTGTATTCAGCAATCACAGAATGTAGAAATAAGCAACATAGTTCTAAAGTGCTAATTAGGTATTTGTCATTATATTTATTCTGGAATGACAGACGAACAAGTTATATTATAAAAAATTACCTCACAAGGCTGTTTGGACCTGACCCAAGTGACAGTTTTATGAAAGTACTAAGAACCAAAATAGTCAAAAGATGCCTATTAGATATCAGGTGGTTCGAAACATAGTTTTGGAATAAACGCATGTGACTAATTATACAGCCACAGGTCTTTTTATAGTCCTTCTAAAGTTTGGGAGTGGGTGCGCGAAAGGCAAATATATGGAAAGAGTTTTTGTATCTTTGTAACAATTGTTCGTTTCATGACGGTTACATAAGAAACGTCTTAATTAAGATATTTTTCAATGTAATTCCAGTGTAAAAGCGCCGTCATCTATGGAATGATTACATTGGGACATAATTAAACACTAGGCGATTTACCAATGAAACCTTGACGTAAATTAGCAAATGATAATATGAAACTGATATGTCCATGGGTGACGCCAATATGTCGCAACTCCGACTTTAGAACAATGGACGGGACTACTATCCCTTTCTTTACTGCCCCAGTAACTACAGTAAAAAGACCGGATTATTCATTTTTTGATATCAGATAATGGGTTGTTCTCAGTTCGGTCATCAAATCATCAAAGCCCTCCTACATGGCAAAAACTTGGCGGAAATATGTACCAGTCCAAATTGTCGTGTTTTACACTAATTTGAGGCTTCAAAATATGGATGAAAAGCGACCATATCTCTTGAACTAACCCATACACCAATATTGCTATTTATTTACCATACATAGGTGATATCATGTTGTCCCCGACAAGGTTATAACATATCAAGGACCGGTCTTAGGTATCTCTTCACCGGGAGGAAATAGCACGGTATTACCTTCCGGTTGATGATACAAACATGACGGATTTTATGATAGTTTAAAATTATGGAAACATCACGAAATAATTGACCTATTTTCAAACAGAATGAATAGGTTTACTTACTTAAAAACAGGATCAGAGTAGACTAGACATAATATTTTTATATAACGTGAAACAGTAGCTCTTGATTTAATGCTAAATTGAACTCACTTTAATTAAATATTTTTCCGATAAAGACAAATGATTTGATGGTTGTAACTTTGCTATTTCGTCAACCAAATTAGAGGACAAACTTGATATATGATGGGTGTTTCTCTTTAAACTAGACGTGTTGTTGAATTTACTTGGATTTTGACCATTCAGTAGTTCATTATTAATCGTATTATTGGTACTTTCTTGTTGTTCTAATGTTGACTTAGATACACATATATCAAAACCATTCAAAATATTATTTACATGAGATTTTAGACTACGAAGCATCATGAATCGTATGCCACAGTTTGAGCACATAAACGGTTCTGAGAGAGGCAGTGGATGACAATAGATAATATGGCGACTAAGAGCCGACTGCTTGGTGAATACGGACATGGGACACAAAGGACAGTTCAGTATCCCATCATATTCTGGATTATGTATACGCGAATGACTAAGAAGTAGAGTTGGATTTGTAAAACTACGTGGACAACTAGAACATGAAAATGACTTCGGAACATTATTGTGAGATATACGATTATGCTGAAGTAAACTTTCTGCATCTTCATACACCATGTTGCATAACCCACATCCATACAGCTGCTGTGTCGACAAAATTGGGAATGAATTTGATTCAATGATGTCAGAGGTTTCTTTTTCAAATGAACATGATTTGTCAACATTTAAACATGTCCTTTCGGAAGGTCGAAGAGTTTTATAATCAAGATTAGTATTACTAGCTTGATTGCAATCATTCACTACAGAAACAGCAGTATTTATGTTAGTTGTATATGTACTTGAGGCATAACAAGTATTAGTTGTCAGGTCTTTGTCTAGCGGTTCAACAGCACACATAAAAGACTGAGTATTAAATAAAGGGTCAATGTTGAGATTTGAAGGGAATTTCGAGGAATCTACATTATCTGGAGCCAATAAAACAGGTTCTTCGTAGGCATCAAGTGAACCCTCAGTAGGTACTTCTCTTGAGCTAAATGCTTGAGATCCATCAATGACCAACAAATCAATAGTTTGATTTACTTCACTTGGTGGAATGTTTGGGACACAGTAAGATTGGTTTTCAACTGAAGAATCGATCCAAAGACCTGTTTGGTGTTGTGAGAATTCGCTGTAAGGTTTAGCGGCTACGCTGATCATTTCTGAATTTTCGAGGTTATTTAAGTTATCTCTGAGATTGTTTACAGTAGGAAAATCGAGAGTTTGATGTTGGGAAACTGATTCCGGTAGTGGGACAAAAATATTACTTGCATTATTTGACGGCGATTGGACATGAACTACAACTGATAGACCATCTGATCTAAAGGTATTTGGACCTGTATTATTATATAAAGAACACTTTTCAACTGTATTCATAAAGTCACTTGCGGTAATGTTGGGATCCGAGTACGAACCTGCATCTTTTGATTTAGATGAGCTATCTATAATCACAGTCTGGAGAACAGGGTATTTAGGGATCGTTACCATATCAGATGAGCAAGATTCCGACAATTTTCGTACACCGTGTTTTTGTTTTTTACTACGTTTGATAATGGAATGGTTAAGTAGATGCTTACGACAAGAATGAAGGAACTGAAATCTCTTGTGGCATATATAGCAGCTGAACAGCCGCTCACTAGAATGTATGTCCATATGACGCTTTAATGCTGACAAATTCAAAAACAAAGTTTGACATATAGGACAGATATTGTTACTTTTAACACAACGATGACGTAGATTCACATGTCTTTTTAAACCCAGGCTGGATATAAATCTACGAGGACATTTGCTGCACATAAATACAGTACACCTCCCAAGGTGGGTTTTGTAAATATGCATTTTTAAGCGATTTACAGATCGAAAAACCTTGAAGCAATGAATACAACGATTAAATCTATGTAAGAGCTTTCTTGAACAAGATTTTTTCGATTTATCACATGGTTTGGTATTCAACCTATTTTGAGTATTTTTCGGCTGAATTGAGTTTTGAGAAATCGGGGTCTGTTCGCAGCTTTTACAGCCAACCATAGAATGACGTAGCATGTGTACTCTCAGGCTTCTAGACAGTTGAAATCTTTTATAACACACTGGACAACTAAACATTTGGGGATAAGAATAATCCATTTCAAGATTTGAGTTAGAAACTGTGGGAATAAGATTGTGGTCAGCGTGATCAGGTCTTATTCGATTCAAGTTACTTTCCGTTGCATGATACTGGGGAATAAATGACTGCAACACAACAGAATTATGTGGCAGAGTTGTACAGTTTAAAGTATCATTATCATTCGGAAAAGTCAAGATTTCAATACCAGAATTCACATGAGAATCTAAACAAGGTAATCTGTTTGTAACACTATCCTGTGATTCATTATTTACAGCCAACACGGGGAGCGATGAATCTATGCCATTTTCTGTGGAATGGTAGCTTGGATGGATATTCAATGCACTAATATGAAGAAGTACATGTGTTTTTGCAGAAGATTTTTGGGTGAATCTAGCGTGACATAATACACACTCGTAAGATTTATTTTTTGTATGGATTGTCATATGACGTTTAAGTAAGGATGGTTTGACAAATTTTTTATGGCATACTGAACAGAAATAGGGAGTTTTTCGCTTTTTGTGATTCGATTTTATTGCATGAGAACTGTCCTGGATAATTGGTTGTTCAGCAGGAAGTTGATAAATGAGCTGATCCAACATAGAAAGCGAGTTCTTACTTTGACGCTGGCCCCTTTTTATTATAGTTGAAAGGTGACCAGTAGCACGGAGTTTGCTACTTCTGATATTTCCTGCATTTATATCTGTCGATGGTTCCAGATTAGTTTCTGTGATTACCCTAGGATTTTCGATAGGATGTGAACGATAACAAGGGTGCCTACGGCGATAATGTTGTTTAATTTTACCAACAGAAGATAAAAGCATTCCACAAACTCGACATCGATATTGAGATGGAGGTTTATTAATGACAATGGTTTTTGTGCATGCATGTAAATGCTTTTCATACAATGTGACTGATTCGAACGACTGTTGACAAACGGAACAAATAAAATTCTCGTCGATTTGATGTAGTAACAAGTGTGATTTGTATGCAGTAAAACGAAGGAATCGCTTGTCACATAAACAGCAATTGTAATGGTCTTGATTTTCACATATTGTGTGATATAATGAAATATGTACATACAAATTCTCAGCTTGGTTAAATGAAGCATTACAATGAGAACAAACATACGGTTTGCCGGTATTATGGATATTCAAGTGTCTAGACATTTGATCGGGAGAATTGAAAAAACAGTGGCATATGGAGCAACACAATCCAGTATATGTAGCTGAAAGTTCATCTGATGCGTAATTCTGAGTATCAACTTGACTAGTTACTTTGGTTGGAAGGAAATTGGACTGTACATCTGTGACTTCACTAAGTGTATATACACAGTTTGGAGTAGGTAGGAAATCAACACAATTCGAATCAGCCATCTCCATCTTGTGAATTAAATGTTAAGAATATTTTCCAAAACGATCACAAATCCATCTGAAGAATAAATAAACAGGGGAGAATATAGTATAAATTTGGAATTCTCATACACTTTTTGTGGATGATAAAAGTTGGTAAAATATCAATTGACAAAACTAAAAGATTCATGAAATGAAATAGTAATATCACAATAAATTTATTATTCACTATTTACATGATATTAGACTAATGTGTATTATTCCAAACTATTTCACTTCACATTAATATAACAACAGAGTAGTAATAAAAATACAAGTAAATGAATTGAAATAATAATTTTTTATTGAACTAAATGTAGGAAATATAGTTCAAGAGAAAAAAAACAAGATTCAGAAATAAGAAGTATACTTTGTTCGAGATTTAAAGGAAGATAATTAATTTTCGCGCACAACGAAAGGATTACGTAAAGTAAGAAACAAAGATATGAATCAAACCAGAAACAAAATAATAATATTGTGAAGAAATGAAAGGAGAGGATCAAAATAACAATAAATTTATGACTATTAAAGAGTGTCGTTCGAATAAAAACAATGGTAAATACCAATAGGATTGAGAGTGGTTTTTATTATAGGCTGTGTTAAACAACCTACCGAGTCAGAATGGTAATGAAATATCTAGGACTTTATTTAGAGTTTTCAAGGATGATCAAATGCCGATCAAGCACAACTATCCTTCATTCTATGGAACTGTATCATGAAATGATCACTTCTATGGTTTCTTCATTTATTTTCACCATGGACAAATGGCAAGAGCCTCTGGTATTACAGATGTAAAGCATAATCAAACTATGTAGTCGATATTTTGAGAAGATAACAGATATAGTCAGTCAGACGCAACATAGAACCTGGCACGTGTGTATATCAGTTTAAGTTACGATACCCCATTTCAGGGAAAACACGAGAGTAGTATAGATAATAATAGTATTAGTGGTAATAGAAAAGATTTATGATGAGTTTAGAAACACAGTGTTGTGTCTTTTGGCCTTTTAACTTATCACGTTATTAAATCGTCAATCAGAACACGACCTATACAATCTTAGCACTGTGCCAAACCAGTGACGTATTGACCGGTACGAGAAGCCTAGAGTCCTTATTGGACCTCCTCACCTAAACCTGCTTGTTGAGTCCAGAACATCAATATCAGCTTCAGCTGTATGAAACATATATTTCAGACATACTTCTTTCATATATAAGTGAAATAAACCACGTCATACCACAAAATAAAAAATAACGATTATACAGGGTCAAGCCCAAAAGTGGCTGTGATTATGAGAGGCTGTAACTAATAAATTGGGAATAACTTGAGAATAATAACTCGTATAATAGTAGTCAATAGGGGCTTATGATTGAAGGAACATAAATATATATAATCTAGCCACTTGACAGCTATACAATAAGAATATATATGATAACAGTCTATAAGTTCACGGAATTTACCTATAATTTAATCTTCAGATTTAACACCTAGGATGCGCCTGCACCACTGTGAACGACTTTGAGCTACCTCATTTAGAGACTTTAGACACTTGTTACGATAATCACGCGGACCTCAACCAAGTAGTCCACGCCTAGCTACATGACTCAGTTCAGAAGTCAGTGTCTCCATGGGCTGATGTTATGTCTTGGTTTGGCCGATCAAAGGCTTCTTCCAAGTTGTTTTTACACAACCCATCATTGCGCGATAAGGTAGTCGGTGGGTGGACATACACAATCTCAGTCAATAAATAGTCGATATCTCCTACATCGATTTCCCATACTTGACTGGTACTCAGTGTTTAACCTAAGAATTGCAAACTCTGGAGTTGTATCATACACGAACACTGCTTCGAAGATACATTTGACGAAAATCCAGTAACCTACGGATATTCGCTATTTTGAAAGACCACTTCTTATAGGCACGAAGCAGAACGGAGAGAAATACTGTACAGTAAACTCGTCCTTCCATTGGTAGACGGATATCTCGCCAATGCCACATATTTGTGAAAGACAATCAGCTTTCCTGGATTCCAACCAAGATTTCGTCAGACACCAATATACCAGGACTGATCAGACCTTAAAGAAAAGTGAAGTGATCGGTACATTTAACTGCTTCACTCCTTATAATCAGTTCAGGAGCTGACGCAAGACAGTTCTGAAGCAACATTTCCTGTTTAAATGAAGAGAAGCGCACATAAATATGCATTGTTACTTAAAGAGGCAAGAAAATTGCATTTTTTCGGCGTCATCATCAAACAGAACCACATCATCTGATTATTCCAAATCAATATGTGAATCTTCTGATAAAAGATTAACCCCAGAAAAATCAGGTGACAGATTTTTCTCTAAGAAATGTCTGTGACGAAGTCAAATAAAAACGGAAAAAGCGGACAAGCCTAACAAAAACTGTTTGGAGCTAAGAATTTAGAAGACAGTTAGCCATAAGCTCTGATTCGACCAGTAGTATTTAAGTAGAGAGCGTGTACAAAGTTAATGTACTTTGGTAAGCCATTTGATGACATACTTACTTACGCCTGTTACTCCGCGCGAAGGAGCATAAGCCGCTCACCAGCATTCTCCATCTAACCCTGTACTGGGCAATCCTTTCCAGCTCTTTACAGTTGTTATTCAGACTTTTCATATCTGCTTCTATTTCCCGACGTAATGTGTTATTTGGCCTTCCTCTTTTCTGCTTCCCTTTAAGGTTCCAGGTTAGGGCTTGCCTCGCGATGCAGTATGATGATTTGCGTAATGTATGTCCTATTCATTTTCATTGTCTTCTCCTAATTTCTTCTTCAGCTGGAAGCTGGTTTGTTCTCTCCCAGAGAAGGCTGTTACTGATGGTATCCGGCCAATGAATGTTGGGTATCTTGCGTAGACAACCATTTATAAATACTTGTACCTTCTTGATGATGGTTGTTGTTGTAGTTCTCCAAGTTTCAGCTCCGTACAGTAGAACTGCCTTGACGTTCGTATTGAAGATTCTGACTTTGATATTGGTTGAAAGTTGTCCTTCGGAACTTTTTATTGATGCAAATATGATCTATCTGGTTCTCTGTGGTGTGGTCCGGTGAGATCCATGTAGCTTTGTGTATACGTTTGTGTGGAAATATTGTGCCCCCTATGACCAATTTGTTGAATGCACACAGACTTGCAAGTCTTTCTCCATTTTCGTTTCTCTCTCCCAGTCCATGTCGTCCCATGATATCTTCATATCCGGTGTTGTCTATTCCAACTTTGGCATTTAGATCTCCCATCAGAATGGTGAGGTCCTTTCTTGGGCATTTCTCTATGATTGATTGCAGCCTCTCATAGAATTGATCTTTAATATCGTCGTTGCTATCATTGGTGGGTGCATAACATTGGATAATATTCATTGTGATCCCCTTCTTCTTTGTTTTGAATGATGCTTTGATGATTCTGGATCCGTGAGATTCCCATCCTACAAGTGCATTTCGTGCTACTTTGGACAGTATTAGAGCAACTCCCTGAGTGTGAGGAGCATTTTCCTCTTCATGACCGGAGTATGTAGCATCTCTCCCGTATTTAGCCTTTGTTGTCCAGTGGGTTTCTCTGATTCCCAGTACTGCCAAGTTGTATCTCCTCATTACCGTTGCTGGTCTTCCCGGTCTCCCACATTGTCCGGACGTTCCATGTACCTATAAAAATTGTTGCTCTGGTTGTTAGAAGGGCCATCGACCTCGTGGCTTCCGAAGGAACTCGGCTTTCACCATGAGGCGTCATAGTTCTTTTAAATGAAGACCTTCTAACTCCCAGGGCAGAGTTTAAATGGTTCGAACTATTTTTTCTGGTTAGCGTTTTTTAGCGAGTTAGCTTTCTACGGGATGGGGTCGCTAACCCCATGCCCAACCCTCCTCCTTTACCCGGGCTTGGGACCGGCAGTAACTCTAGAAGAGCTACAGACGGAGTTCACTCAATGACATACATTTCCATAAATCTTGTTGATTAACAGTCGGACACTACTTTAAGTTCAAGAAATGTAACTGTAGCCGTGAATTTGCAGGTATGTGTTTCAGAACCTGGTGAAGGGCGATTATATGGTCTACAAATACACGTCTACGATTGGAAACAGCCTGGCTTTCCTGAGTTCGCTTTTTATGACTCGTAGTTAAGCGTTGAATGATTGTTGGGGCTAAAATTTTAGGAATTATGTTAGTCAGACTAATTCTTCTGATTGTCACGAGAGAAGTTTCACCTTTCCTTACAAACTGGAACGATCAATGATCGAGAACGGCCACATGGGACTGCGTCAAGTTGCCAGATTATAGCTTATGTCTCAGTCAATATAAGTTAAATCTGGACCACTATCCTGAAAGATTTCGGGCGTTAATCCACCAAGGTCTGCTGCACTTCCTCGCTTAAGATTAGCTATGGCTTTACCTACTTCTTTTTATTTTAACACATAGATATTGGTACAACGAGGCACCAAATATATATGCGCCACACCATACTTGTGTGTGTGGGCTGTGATACTGCCCGGGTGCCCAGACCGAAGCAGGTGGTTTTCTCAGGGGACCACACCCCAAGCCTTTGACCTAAAGATCGAATCCACAAGGCAGTGGAGCATCGTGAGGAGATGCATTCCCATGGTAGCCGGTGACCAATGATTGGTTCATACTCCATTTGTTCCCGCAGGATACTGGAGCCCATGTGCACCATTAGTTTGAGATCCGGTTTAAGCGCCAGACACTCACTTTTCGCCCACTCATTTTCGTAAACAACACCCCCGCCACGAGAACGCAGTGAGTAGGACTTCCCTGGCAGAGGCTGTATACGCGTGGCCGTGTGAGAGCATTTCGAGAGGGAGAGCGGACTCTCTCCACTCTCGGCCGTATTAGGGCATTTGGGGGCACCTACTTCTTTAAGAGTATTTGAATTTATGCTAACATTCCATTTAGGTTATTTGATAAAAAAGGGCAAATAAGGGGCAGCTTGAGCGCAGTCCTTCAAAGTGTTTTGTCTCCTAAGTTAAAAGTTGATTATGATCCCATCTTTTCCAAAAATAATTACACTAACTGAAAT